TTTTTCTATGAAATTTAACTATTCATAGCGTTCTTGAATCCATTCAGGTTTTTTCAACTCAACTTTTTTTAGAACCCTCAAGGAGGGGATCTTTACTTCTACTGGTAGTACAGCTTTCATCCCATAAATAAAAAAAAATGGGGTTATCTTAGTAGAGGTGCGAACTGACGTTTGATATGCATGTAATGCAAATGGAAACTTCTCATGCCAATCTTTGTAAGTCTCGATCATCTTCTCTAAAATCTTTTTTATGTTCTTATTGGCTGCCTCAACTGCCCCATTCATTTTTGGATGATATGGTGCCGAGTTATTATGTTTGATCTTATATTGGGCACATATTTCTTACATCATCTTACTATTTAGATTCTTGACATTATCTGAAATAATTTTCTCTGAAAGCTCATATCTACAGATGATCTCTCTCTTTATGAATTTGTAAACCACAGACCGTGTCACACTTACATATGATGCTATCTCTATCTATTTTGTGAAGTAATCTATCATCACAAAAATAAATCTGTGCCCGTTAGAAGCCTTTGGGGTGATTGGACTAATGACATCCATGCCTCACATTGAGAATGCCATGCGGTGCCATAACATGTAAAGCAGATGGTGGAAGATGGATCTTATCAGCATATATCTGGCATTTATGGCATTTACGAGCATAATCAATGCAATTATTCTCCATCATTAACCAGTAATATCATGTTCTCATGATCTATCTCGCCATCATATGTCTATTAGTATGTGCCCCACATATTCCATCATACACTTCTTCAATGATTTTCTTCACTTCAGTTTTACTTACACACTTCAATAATACTTGATCCCGACTTCTTTTGTATAAAACATCTCCATCTAGGAAAAAGCTCATAGCCAATCTTCGAATGACCCTTTTATCATTTTTTGTTGCTTGAACTGGGTACTGCTGATCCTTAATATACTGTAAGATGTCATAATACCAAGGTTTTTCATCATCATCTTCTTTTACATTAGAGCAATAAGTTGTATATCCTTAAAATCTAGCTTGATGGGCTGAATGTCAGTATTATCATTAATTCGAATCATTACAGCTAGAGTAGTCAATGATCAGTAATCAAATTTCTTCTCGAGGGTAAGTGGTCAAATTGGAGTATCATCAAATTATTTCGTCAACTCTAGAATATAACTTATGATATGGAACGGGTTTGAATCTTTTTATTCACATTTCTCCTTTCAACTAATATATAACTGAGAGCTGGAGTTGCAAACACTTTTCAGTACTTTCACTTTTATCTATAATAGCTTGTAAGCCCATGACCAACATGCCTCATATGTCAGCGATGTTATTTGTGTAATTAAAATTTAACCTTGCTGTTACAGGGTAGTATTGTTCTTCTGGAGAGATCAAAATTACCCCAATTCCATGCCCCAAGGCATTGGCAGCTCCATCAAAGTACATTCTCCAACATTTTTCTCCATGCTCCCCTTCTTTCAGTTGGGAAATAGTCATTAGGTCTTCATCAGAGAATTTCAGCTTTATTGGTTCATACTCTTCAGTAGCACGATCTGTAAGAAATTCTATTATAGCGCCCTCATTTTATTGCTTTTTGGCTCACGTATATAATATCATATTTTGAGAGCATTACTTGCCATCTAGCAATTCTTTCAGACAAAAAAGGCTTCTCAAAGATATACTTAATTAGATCCAATTTTGCTATGAGCCATGTAGTATGATAGAGCATATACTATCTAAGTTTTTGGCAGTCTACGCTAATGCACAACACATTTTCTCTAATGAAGAATACTTGGATTCATATTTTGTGAACTTTTTACTCAGATAGTAAATAGCTCTCTCCTTTCGGCTAGCCTCGTCTTGCTGTCCCAGCACACATTTCATTGAATTTTCACATACAGTTAAGTATAAAATTAAAGGTTTTCCTGGAACATGTGGCACCAATACTGGAGGGTTCGATAAATATTGCTTAATTTTATTAAACGCCTCTTGACATTCTTCATTCTATTTCCTAAGATTATTCTTATGGAGAAGCTTAAATATGGGATCACATTTGTAAGTAAGTTGAGAGATAAATCGAGAAATATTGTTCAATCTCCCTAAAAAACCTTGAACTTCCTTTGGTGTGCTGAGAGGTGACAGATTTTGAATGGCCCGTATCTTATTGGGATCGACTTCAATTCTTCTTTCACTAACCACAAAGCCTAGCAACTTCCTTGACTTTACCCCAAATGTGCACTTGGCTAAGCTTAATTTGAGCTGAAATCTTCTCAACCTCTCAAATAACTTTCTGAGACTGATGACATGATCTTCATCCTCACATGACTTTGTAATCATATCGTCTACATACACCTCGATCTCTTTGTGCATCATGTCATGGAAAAGTGTTACCATGACCCTTTGATATGTTACCCCAGCATTCTTTAACCCAAAAGGTATGATTTTGTAGTAAAAAGTTCTTCACATGGTCACGAAAGTAGTCTTTTTCAAGTTATGTGTTCTTCATTGGATTAAATGTGTTTAGCTAGAATTCAAAGAAACAAAGAACTATGGCTCAATCAATAGCCAAAGTAAAGTACATAGCTATTGCAACTGCTATTAATCAAGCAATTTGACTAAGAAAAGTTTTGATGGATTTGAGTCAAAAGCAAGATGATCCAACAAAAATTTTTGTGATAATCAGTCAGCAATTGCAATGGTCAAAAACCCTATGTTTTATGGAAGAACTAAATACATTAAGATTAAATATCATTTTATTAGAAAAGTTGAAGTGAGAATAAAGCGAAGCTGGTGCATTGCAAGTCAGAAGATCAAATTGTAAATATTCTGACCAAGGCCTTACCAAAGGCAAGATTTGAAACATTAAGGAAAAGTCTTGGTGGTTCCAGTAGAAATGTCAATAGGAGTGTTAATGGTTGAAACAACTAGGTATGGCATTTTTACTGCAACCTTTGCAACATGTTCTACCATCTTATCAGTTTAGGTAGCATGATGGATCTGTGTGTGGTGATCCATATTGTTAGATAAATAACTTTTGTAATAGTTAAACAAACATTTGTATTTTTGAAGCCTATAAATTAATGAAATGAAGCTTATGATCTGATAGAACTAATTTACTTCAATTGATAGATTAGTTTCTTCATTTTTTTCCCTTTGATCTTTCTCTGTTATGATCCTTCAAAGTTGCTCATATACGCAAAGTTGGTCTTTGTTGCTTATTAATAACCTGATTTGGGGTTTGTTTGTCAACACATTTCTGATAGCAAAGACTTGAATTTAATAATAATTGAATAGTAATCATTCCTTTATGTTGCTATCACACGACAATTATTTACTCGTCATTGGACCATTCAGGAGATTTTTTCCAGCTGGAGACACAAGACAGATCATTTCCGGAGAATTCGCTCAAGGACTGGAATTCCCTTCAACTGAATGCTTTTATTATTATTATTATTATTATTATTATTATTATTATTATTATTTATGATGAGAATAGGAGCATACAAGCTGTAAGAATGGCTTTTCCTATCTTTTCCTTTTGCCTTTTTTTTTTTTTTTTTGGCTTGGTCACTTGCTTTTATTTCATGGAGTTGGATATTTGGCCCTTTACATTTATGCATTGAGGTTGTAAGAACCTTCTCTACCCATTCTTTTGTTATGGTTATTGGGAAGGGCTGGCATGTTATTTCACTTAGCATAATCTTTAATGACAATGGCAGGTCTCTAAGATGGGAGTCACGAGCATATATGTTGATAATGGGGTTAATCTTGAAGCATTGAGACGAGGGCTAACAGAATTCACTAAAAATCAAAATGCATCTGAGAAGAACAAGCCCAAGTGACTCAAAAATACTCTCAAAATTCAAATTCTTCTGAGAACAACCAGAAATGAGTGTTCTTATACGGTATTCCTTGGTTTACGGTAACAGAAATCAAGATTATTTTCCAAAATTAAGCGGATATTTTTTTGAAATATACAATTACTGAATGTTGCCTTTCATAGTGATTCAGGTCAGGAGTGTATCAATCGGTCAGGAATTTCACACAATTGTTAGTGCAGAAACTTTCTTCTGGGAACTCAATAGCCATCCGTTGAGCCATTCAACCATTGTTATTGTCAGGGAATGAAAGTTAAATTTTTTTTCTGGTTCTTTTTTATTTTATGAACGATTATCTGCTGAACTTGCAATATGCTACTATTACCGAATAAATGGGGATATAATGTCCTAGTTGGGAAATTTATAAACAAGTTACGCATAAATGAGTCTTCTCGCATGTTCACTCCTGGTCTATAATCTCAGGACATCAACATTCTTTTCTAAATTATTGTATCGCTTTTAGAAGCCAGTAAGAAATGTTTCCAAAATTCAGTGCCTGTATATGAAAAATATTTAAGACTGATGAGCTTTGTCAGTAAGAAATGTCTGAATGCCGATTCTGATGATTTTGCACCTATCTCATTCAATTTAAAAAGAAAACAATATATCGTTTACACAAGGCCATTTAAAACGTTTGCAAGGCTGAACTTCATTTGGTATTCGGGCCATCGTGGACCCAAAAAAAATGAAGATAGAAGGCAGAAGTAAGAAGAATCAGTGATGCCTTGAATTTGGCGAGGGCTAAAAAGAAACTCAACTCTTGGCAGAATGAGATCAAGGGCTTTTGATCCCCACCTTGATAAATATGAAGGTGGTGTAACCGTTTTAGTGACGGAAAGTTCTCTTGTTGCAGCCATGGGAGCTTTATCTTTGGTTCTGATTTCGGAATGTCAGGTTGGCATTGGATTTTGGAGATTGTGATAAGTGGTATTCATATTTTAGATCAAGCTGGTAAAATTTGTTGTTAACCAAGTTTTCTTTTTTTTTTTTGGCAGGAGGGCTGACTTCAATGAAACCATTCTTGATGATGTTTTTCCCGTCAGTGTACCAGAAGATGCTTCAGGAAAAAATTCTTGAAAATCAGTACTGCAAATTTGATAGCTACCTACTAACATTTTTCACTTCTTTCCTCTACCTGGCGGCATCGGTTGCATTGTCATTTGCCTCAATGGTTTCAAGATCTTTGGCCGGAAAAGTGATTGAACCAGCATTGCAACATGTTTTAATTAACTGGGAAGCAGTAAATTGGAAACACATTTACGTTCACATTCTGCAATTTTAGTTTGATTGATTTACCAGCCTTCCAGCAATGCTATTCTCACCCATCAGCCCAAAATGCATATGAAAGCATCAGATATTATTTTTAACATACAATGTCAATATCAGCAAACAAAGAACAAACATATAAGCCAGACAAAATAAGGCTACTGAATTAGAAATGATAGCAAATTACTTGATATAGCAATCTAAAAGAATTAAGAATTGCTTTTTGACATGAACTACACAACTTTACACGAAATATGCTGTTGCTTACCATCCAACTTCAAAAAAGCAAAACAGAGAGAAAACATCAGACAAGAGAAGAGTATAAACATCATAAAGTTGAACTGTTCTCGGTTTCAGGCCCCTTGTCTCTGGCAACTTGAACAAAAAGTGCCCCTTGGGCTAATCACACTAATTCTCTCAAACCCTATCTGCCAAGAGCAATTGTTCAAGTTCTTCTCTACGCCGCTCCAAGTCCTGCAGATGAAAGTCAATGAGATCATGGTACTTTCTTTTTCCTTTCCATTTTCTTTATTTGGAAAAATAACATATTTCGTGATAAAATTAATTGATAACTATAATACTTTCATACCATGGACCTCTAACGAATACAAATTCAATACCAAATTAAAGATCTCCACCTAACCTCCAACTGGTCAGGTTGACCTGAAGGAGCTACATTTTAACTAATAAAAGAAAAAATAGACTGACATGAACCTCCATTATCCATCATGTAAAGGTGTTTATTGATGAATTTCTTATGACAATCACTTGCAATGCACCATAATAACGTTCTCTTATTTGTCAACTTAAGAAGATCTGTGCACGTGATTAAAGAGCTTTGAATCCCAAAAGAAGCATTCATAGCATGACCGGACATCCATAATTGATAATAAGGCTAAACATTAGCATCACAAAGAAAATAAATAGAAACAATCATGAAGGCAAGATGTAGACCAAAGGCCTGATTTGGACACTCGTAGCCTACCTCCAGATCCTTAACTGCTTGTTCCCTTGTAATTTCTTTCTGCTGGCGCGAGCGTTTGAGAAAGCCAATGCATAAGAGTCCCTGATAAATTGTTGAAACAATCAAGGTTTAAAATCACTAAACAGAAATTCAACTCAAGTCACAGCGCTGCCTCAATTCCAGCCCAAACGATATTATATCAACACGTGAAAGTGAAAAACAAACCTAAACTAGACTACAATGTTAAATCAGACAGCCCATAGATAGATATAATGAAAGTCAAAGCTCAGTAGAAGAAAAGATCAAAGTAAATTTGTGATTTATATAGAAGAAAAGGATCGAGAATTGTTTGAATTATGAATCAATCTTGGAAAGTATTTCCTTTGACCTCCCAGAATGATCCTTTTAATTTATACCAGCGCAGTTGGACTAGAAGGACTAAGTCGATTTTAGCTTATAAATTCTCACAGCAACATAAACATTAAGTCCATTATCTTACGGAAATAACGTAGACTAAACCACACGCAAGGAGCATATAGCTTGCTATGTTCTGAAGAAGAACAAGATCCTTTTGGCTTTCGGAATAATCAGGGAAAGCTCTTGTCATCACTGCAACACTGAAAAGAAACAATAACAATTTCAGAAAGAATAAACCAAAAATAATAATAATAATAAAGAGACAGAGAGAGATCATTCCACAAAAGATAGTATATCACACACTAAAAATTTGGGCACTACAGCATTTGTTCTCTACCTGCAATAATCCTTTGTTTCTTTTCTCTTCTTTTTCCATTTTTAAGGTTTAGTATTGATATTTTTGGAGAATATAAAAGGGAAAAGAAAAAAAAACAAGAAAAATCTTACTGCAATATAAGACATACAAGATTTGCAGCATACCCCTACCAGCCCAAAACTCCAAAACCTGCCGTTTTTAAATCAAAAGATTCAACATTTGATGATATATCCTTGAGAGTATAAATTGGTTAAAATCCCAACCAAAAGAAGAAAACGAACCTTCCAGAACTTGATTATGAAGCCCCATTCAGTCTCCGCTATAACCACAAAGAAGGCAATTACAACCGCATAACACCGGAAAATCCCATCAAAAACCTTTTTTTTTTTTTTTTGTATAAAGAAAGAAAAAAGGGTCAGGGAAAAAGAAAGTAAAAGGAAAAAAAAAGGAATGGATTATACATACATCGGATCCGTTCTTGAAAGAGCGAACAGCAGAGAGAACGTTGACGGCAATGCAGAGAATCGCAGTTAGAGCGGTTATAAGGCTAAAGCATCTGCACACCATCAAGAAGGGGTCGCGTCCAGTTCTTACTCTCCCGTTCGAAGACGCTCGCGGAAGTACTCCCTCGCTGCCATCTGGATCTCCATTTCTCGCCATTTTTTGTTTACCCTTTCTCTTTGGATAAAAACCCCTAGCAAATCACTGAAGCATTTTTCGCATCTCTAATACTATGGGAAATCCTTTTTCAGTTGTTGTTCGTTGGCGAAAAGCGGGATACTTTCACCTGCTATTCAAGGCAGTCAGCTTCAACTGCCACGTGTCTTTGTCGAATGGAACTCCCGACACCTGACGGTAATCCATGTTCCACCGTTACTGAATCCATTTGATTTTGTTAAAATGGGGTCCGCAGACTAAAGACAGTTCTGCCACTGTCAGATTTCATCTGATAAAAAACGATCAGTAATCGACGGTTCATAATTAACTAAAATCTTGACGTCAGTGTCAGTGAGTCAGTGTGATACGTTAGCCAATCTTTTAAAAAGCAGACCGACCAACCAATTAGCTAATCTTTTGTTTTTGAGTCATATACTGTATTATTGTCCAAAGCAAATTGATAAGAATTGAAGAGAAAAATCATAGTTGTTGCAACTCAGAAATGGAGAAAAGTGAAGGAATTGAGAGAGAAAATGGAAGAATAGAAGAGAAGCAAAGCTTTAAAGATGGATCCATTTGTGAGTATGACTAGCTTGACCAACTCTTGAGCGCAAATCTCGATCCTCAAATCTTCCAGGTCTCTCTCTTTGCCGAACTTTTCAACCCTTTTTCGTTTCTGGGTTGTAATTTATATGTCTTGACTTTGTTGATTGAATTGGGGTGTTTTAATCTGGTTTGACAAGATAGTATACTGACCTTGCACTTGACAAAATCCAATGTTGCCTGTTATTTTAGTAACTTATACCTTTTATTATTTTGTTATTGGATTGGTTATGAAAAAGGATGAATTGTGGCTTTGATTGGATCAACATGTGTTGATAATCAGGAAATCCAATTCAAATTGTCAATTATGATTAGATTAGTTATTGTAATTTGGATTACTGGGTGCCACTGAAATGATCATTGGAATTGATCCTCAGAAGTTGTAAATATTTTACAAATAACATGTCTTTTGCCTATTAAAAGTTAAAATGTACTGATCTTAATGCTGATAAAAGTAACAATCTTTGGAATTTTGCGTTCATATGATTTATTTACATGAAGTCAGCCGGTTGCTTCTGGGGCTGAATTGCGGAAGAGCACTTGAAACTATTGTTCTCCCTGAATCAGCTAAATCCCTCTTTTCAAAACATGATTTTGACCTTCAGGTGCATATTTTTCCAGTTTAACTGTGTTATAATGGATTGGTCAATACAGAGATTCATCGTCTAGTTCATTAATATCAGAAAATAACAACCAAAGGGTTGCCTGACTGAAACCTGGATACTCCTACAAAACCATCAAAGGGAAGGAATAATTTATGTTTTGAACACTTTAGATATACAAGGCATTTCCACATATTTTGAAGAGAACTGAAGATTGTGTTACTCAGTCTTTAGCAGTGTTAGTTATTCTGTGTCATAGATTGTTCTGAATTTTCTATCAAAAACATTTCCTTTTTTTTTTCTTTCCAATTTCTAATTTACCCATTTTGAAAATGTGATTAGAATAGTTTCAATGTCTAATTTTTCTACTACCAGGATTTCCTTGAAAATATGTTGATTTTCATTCAAGCTACCTTCTCTAAAAGGTTGAAAATCACTCCTTTTCTCATTACAAAAATTAATCTTACACAGACCTAATCTGAGCAGACTTGTAGTTATTACTTGGGTTATCTTTTATCATTTCAATAAAAGTATATCCTAGAAGACAGCCTATTCTGAGAAGACAGTTTTATGTGCTTTTCCATTTCAAATCATTCCAGGCTTTCAGCTTTTCTGCTGACAAAGAGTTGTTGAGAGAACCTCGGTTGGTAAGGGTTGGTCTTGTTCAAAACTCTATAGCTCTTCCAACTACTGCTCCCTTTTTGGACCAGAAAAAGGCTATCTTTGAGAAATTGGGACCAATAATTGATGTTGCAGGTGCTTCAGGAGTCAACATACTATGCTTGCAGGTATGGTCAAAAAATTTTTTTTAATTGATGCTTAATTATTCTGAAAGTCCCTATTAACAACTTATATGATGTAAGTTCAGAAAGCATGGATGACGCCATTTGCCTTCTGTACACGGGAAAAGAGGTGGTATGAATTTGCAGAGCCTGTTAACGGAGAATCTACACAATTTCTTCAGGAATTTGCACGCAAGCATAACATAGGTCATTATAAGCCCAATTCTTGAAGGGGATGCAAATCATGGAGAGACTCTGGAATACTGCTATTATAATTGGAAATCATGGCAACATAATAGGCAAGCATCGTAAGGTAAATGCAGTAGTTTATCTGGGTTTCGGTTTTTGTTACTAGAATTTTTGTTGACTGTGGCTTCTGGCAGAACCATATTCCTAGAGTTGGGGACTTCAATGAGAGCACGTATTATATGGAAGGAAATACTGGACATCCTGTATTTGAGACTGCTTATGGGAAGATTGCTTTTAATATATGTAATGGAAGGCACCATCCTTTGAATTGGCTAGCTTTTGGTTTGAATGGTGCAGATATTGTTTTCAACCCATCAGCCACAGTTGGTGAACTTAGTCAACCTATGTGGCCCATAGAGGTTATTCTTTCTTTTCAAATACTTAAACATGTGTTCTGCTTCTTTTTACAGATTTAGATTACGCTTTCATTGAGACTAAAATTTGCCATGAGACTGTTTATGTAGTTATATAATGCTAAGTTATCAAAAGATTTAGTGTGATACAGATCTAGTAGACAATCATTTATCTAATATTATTAATTGCATACGACATATGGACATAGATGTTAGCGTTATATCAGTTAATGCCTACCACTACAATGTCTTCTACAAAGTAATTTCACATAATATTCCTTTGTTTTTCAGGCACGTAATGCTGCACTAGCAAATAGTTACTTTGTTGGGTCAATCAATTGTGTAGGGACTGAGATTTTCCCCAACCCATTCACTTCAGGGGATGGAAAGCCACAACATCCAGATTTTGGGCATTTCTATGGATCTAGTCATTTTTCAGCACCAGATGCTTCCTGCATACCCTCACTCTCACATTATAAGGATGGGCTGCTATCTCAGACATGGATCTTAACCTTTGTAGGCAACTGAAAGACAAATGGGGGTTCCGAATGACTGCAAGATATGAGTTATTGGCAGATTTGCTTGCCCGTTATCTGAAACCAGACTTTGCATCCCAAGTCATCTCTGATCCATTGTTACATAAGAAGTCTTCTTAAGTTCCTGGAACTAGTTGCAGCTCAAATATGAAGGGAATAAATGAAGGTGAAAATGGCAACTGTATTTTAACAACATATTGAATCGTCAATGAGAATTAAGTTCTTTGTGTTTGCGTTTGTAAGTACTTGTGCCCTTTTCTGTCTTCAATAGATTTAGCAATTTCTGACCACTCCATTAACTTCCTTGATATTAAGATGAAGAAAAAGGAATCCGGGTGTCGGCACTTGGTGAAAATTATAAAATGAAGTGAAAAGAACGCTTATTAGAAGAGAAGTGCATTTGAATTGCAATTGCCCTTATCTTCGTTCCTCCAATTTTCCTTCTCACTGCCATTATACTTCTTGCTCTTACTGTCAAATACTACTTGGGATAAGTTGCAACAAGGTTATATTAATGTATTTACTTTATAAATGTTGAAGCTAATTAAAGAAAAACATCAAGGCTGGTAATGATGTTTTTGTATGGGGCTTGAAGAAGATTCTGAGAAATAATCTTGGCGTGCAAGTGGCATGAATATTGCACGGCAACTTCTGATTTCACTCTATTCCTATGACACAGTGTACATAGTCAAAGAATCAACTGAAAACTTTTCACCAAATGAAAGGCAGATTCTAATTCTTATGCCTTAGAACGCGAAAGTGGAGAGAACATCCAATTTGATGAATGAAGAATTCCTATACTCCACCTATGGTTTTTCACTAGAGCAATAAGGGACGCAATTTGATCAATTTGGTTTAGAGCCAGAACTGCTACCAGAAGGAAAAAAAAAAAGGACAATATTTATGTCCCCCATCGATGAACGTACCATTTCCTATATCAGGCTCAAATTTGACCATTAGATTAGATCCCAACAATAATGATCCGTATGGGGTAAAGCATTTGCAAAATATTGTCCCCAACGTTTTGGATTTATACCTCACATCAACCTTCAGACTGAAACGAACCATTGCTGTTTCCCGATCTGCTCACAGCTCATGGAGAACAGAATATCTATTCCAGACAGAAAAAGGGCATTTCTCCTTGCAGAGAGAATTTCCGGCCACATTTCAAGCATGGGGAGAATTATGGTTAGGTGTTGTTCCTAGTAGAATCTGTGTGTGGGATAAATCCTAACATAAAGTTTGATCAAATTTGCTCATGATAGGACTTGAACATGAAATCTTTAAGATTCGATAATTTTCAACTTTTGAGTTGATCATGGAATTACTTCAACAAAAATTACACGGTGTAATTTCTATGAACAGTAAAGTAAATATCCAAACTATTCATTCAAGGCATTTTTTAGGCCTACTAAGAATCAATTTCTCCCTTCCTGTTTCAGGCATCATCCCAACCGGTAGATTCCAAAAATATGAATCCGGTACTTCCAGAAGACTACTTTTCCAGTATGATCCCCATTACTCGTATTTAACCCATAAATCTAACCTCACACCTAAACGCAACATTCTACGTTCGATTTGCTTACCTATTTCACTAACAACTTTTTTTACAATTAGTTGGTTGCCTTCCCATCCTGTATTCCCAAATTTCACCTGCAATATTTTATGTTCCTTTGCTCCCAAGTTAAAATTAGGCTCAACGGAAACTGTTGAAAGGAGGTCATCATGATCTTCATTATTGTAAAAGATGTAGCCCTTAATTTAATCATAGTAAATCCGTGTGCGATCATATCCGGATGTCAAGTTGTAGTCACGGTGTTGGCATCCGAATATGAAATCTAATTCCCAATCGGCCGCCAGTCTCGAGTAGAAGATGGTGAAGTTGGATATGGCGAATGACTTTGGATTTAACGCTACCGTTGGTGAAGGAAGATCATATGTTAAGATATTGTATGAAATGACTAATGCAAGGAACGCGAGTCTCGCGTAATTGGCGCAGGCGTTCTCAGCAGGTTCATCGGCTTGTGACGGACAAAACTCGGAGGAGATTTCA